AGATGAGTTATTAAAACTACTATGTTTAGAAATGTATTCTTTCTGTTAAACAGAAATTGGGGGAAAAATAAACGGGGCAAATAACTCAGGGGGGGCTAATAATTCCGACATCAACTGTGTGTATATACTGTATAGATATAGATATTCAGTCATTCATTCATTCATTTTCTTTTTGGCTTAGTCCCTTTACTAATCTGGGGTCACCACAGCGGAATGAACCTCCAACTTATCCAGCATATGTTTTACGCTGCGGATGCCCTTCCAGCTGCAACCCATCTCTGGAAAACATTCATACACTCTCATTTACATTCATACACTTCAGACAATTTAGCCTACCCAATTTACCTGTACCGCATGTCTTTGAACTGTGGGGGAAACCAGAGCACCTGGAGGAAACCCACGTGAATGCAGGGAGAACATGCAAACTCCACACAGAAGTGCCAACTGACCTAGTCGAGGCTTAGACCAACGACCTTCTTGCTTTGAGGTGACATATATATATATATATATATATATATATATATATATATATATATATATATATATATATACTGTATTTTGTTTTTTTTTTAGGGATGTAACAATATTGTAAATACTGTCATACTAATACTAATAATAGTAATTTTTTTCAATATTACCGTAGGCGCATGACTCAATAAAACCTATATTTCTGAGAAAAATTTGCTCAGGCGAATGAAGCGAACGGGAGGTAGCGGGAACTACAATTCCCATCAGCCTAGGCGTGGCCATCATCCTTTGCGGTCTGTTGTCACTACAGATCCAGTAATGCGGAAATGGAGTGTGCTGCTAGTAGCAAGGAAGAAAAAGAGCTGGAAATGATCAAACCTAAAGCGGGTTTTAAATCGGATGTGTGGAAGCATTTCGGTTTCTTTCTAAAAAGATACAAAAAAGGAGAAAAGGTGACAGATAAAGAAAAAAACAATATGCAGGCACTACCAGACTGTGGTGAAATATAAGTCACTTAATGATACGACAACGACTAAAAACAGTCATGGGGACTGCAGAACACAGCACACTTGTTAGATTGATGCAGACATTGACTTGTACCGCAAAGAGACCTCTATCTCACTCATGGCTTGTCCTCTCAAGTGGTGGAAAGACAATGCACAACGTTACCCACTGCTGTCAACCTGGGCTAAATCATATCTCTGTCCCAGGAACCTCAATCCCAAATGAGAGGGTTTTTTTTTTCTTTTGCAGGGGACATGCCCAGAGATCCCAGCTTTTACCAGAATATAGTTATATGATAATTCTCCTAAAACTCTCCTTAAAAACCCATCTCTATCTAAGTGAGTGGGTGATTAAATGTTGAATGTAATGAGTTTTCAACAATACTAAATTGAAACTTTATTTTTTTACATGGTTTAATAGTTTTTTGTTATTAAAATTGAAAAATTAAAGTTCCTGTTTCGAAAATTACAGATAGATGGCTAATTTGTGTCATTGATATGTTCAGTGCTAAGGTAAATAAACACTTTTGGCACTTTTTTTGAGTCTTTTCATTATTTTTGTTTTTCCTGTAAATTATTCAATAAATACCGTACCGTGCCATTCATATCGAGGTATTATCGTACCTTAAAATTCTGATACCGTTACATCCCTAATATATATTTATACACTGCATACAATTTTGTACTCTCATCATGGCAAAGACAAAATAAAAGATTTGTTAGAAATAAATTAAAAAATGATTCATTCATTTTCTTTTCGGCTTAGTCCCTTTATTAATCTGGGGTCGACACAGTGAAATGAACCGCCAATTTTTAAAATGTGTTAAAAAAATATTGTCTGTTAAACAACACAACAGATTTTTTTTTTTTTTTAAAAAGAATAAAATGTTCACAGGAGGGCGAATAACATTGTCTTTAAGCTTTTAGAATATATAATGGCCTTTTTATTTATTTTAGGGTGGACTTTGAGGTGAATATGACACTAGCCTATTTTTGTCAGCTTGTTGTATTTTCTGACTTTGAGACTGTATACTGTATATTCAGTACTGCAGTACTGTCACAGTCCAGCTGCGGTTGACTGTGTGTTTGCTCTGCTCTGCTGTCAGTGTGAGGTAAAGTTTGTTCTTCACAGAGAGCTGCTGCTGCACCTCCAGATGAGTGAAAGGCTGACGGATGGTTTCTCAGCAGACTGACAGAGCTGTGTGTGTGATCACAATGGAAACACTCACTCAGACATATACGCCAGCCCGTATCGCTCATCAGAGTCGTAAGCGCTTTAATACGGCCGCTTTGTGTGATGGAGAGCTTTCATAAAGGCTGGATGAAGGAAATAAAGCCTTGCTCTGCTGGAAAAGTCAAGTTTGTCATTTGTTCCTCTCGATACTGTAATTGAAGCTACATGCTTTGCTTGCAGAGCCTTGAAACATCAGCAGCTCATTTCCTCCTGATAATTGTGGCGGTTTAATTGAGGATGTGTCCAGAGGGGCTCTCGCACAGTAGGAAAAGCACAGATTGTCTGATCTTTATCTGAAAATTTTGGCTGTGGAGTTTCCTGTGGTTTATGAACGATCTCTGGCTTTAAAGTTACACACGTCTGACGTCTGAGGTTTTGTGAAACTGTCATTCCTGACTATCTGTGGTGGTGGATCTTTTTTACTTTACAACTATACTTAAAGGTGCTGTATGTAAGTTTTTGACTCTTCTAAAGCATGCAAATATAATATGTTTGCAGATATTTCGGAAACATGCTAACTGAACATTCTAGTTTATCTGAAAAACAATGCTGAAGTCAGATATTCTGCTTTGAAAATGTCTGTTACATGCCAGAATGCTGTCTTTGTTTTTGTTTTTGTTTTAACCCACCCACTGCTGCTTTAGCCAATTATATTCCAGCACACCGGGTTGTCTTGTTGGAAAACCGTGTATTTCATTCATTCATTCAGAAAGGCTCTCATAGCATGTGCCTGTGACTGAAATGCGATCTCCGGTGGACGATAGCGGACAGTGAAATTAGACGCAGATTCAGAGTTCCACATGAGGTTATTAATTAGCAAATAATAAAAATATTACAACACATGAGGAGATTTGCAGTGATGAGCAATATGGCTGTTTGCACAAGATGAAACACAGCAGAAATATAAATACAGCCATTCAAGAGCACAGAATATGCCCTCACTCACGAAATTGTAAGATTTATAATCTAATAATACATATTAAAACTCTATAAGATTATTAAATGTAGATGCTGAATCTTTGATGCTGTATGTGTTGGTTTTGAGTCTAAAGTTCAATTTTAAATGATTTATTTAATTTTTCAAGAACTGAGGTGAACTATCTGCTGCTGCTTTCAGTAGTATGGCAATAAATGTGATGTAAAATGGCATTCAAACTCGCATTATTAGCATTTTACACTGAATAAAGCACATGAGGTGTACCTGAGGGGATCATTGTTTTATGTTCTTTAGCTGCAAGAGATAATTTTTCTGTGTCTAAAATATCAATTTCAGGTGTTGGTTAGGACAAAAAGTGAGTCTTGTGAGTCTACCGTTCATGGCTCACTAATTCAAATGATCTGCTCTTAGTGAGTCTACTGTTCATGCATCACTGATTCAAATGATCTGCTCTTAGTGAGTCTACTGTTCATGGCTCACTGATTCAAATGATCTGCTCTTAGTAAGTCTACTGTTCATGCATCACTGATTCAAATGATCTGTTCTTAGTGAGTCTACCGTTTATGGCTCACTGATTCAAATGATCTGCTGTTAGTGAGTCTACTGTTCATGGCTCACTGATTCAAATGATCTGCTCTTAGTGAGTCTACCATTCATGGCTCACTGATTCAAATGATCTGCTCTTTGTGAGTCTACTTTTCATGCATCACTGATTCAAGTGATCTGTTCTTAGTAAGTCTACCGTTCATGGCTCACTGATTCAAATGATCTGCTGTTAGTGAGTCTACTGTTCATGGCTCACTGATTCAAATGATCTGCTCTTAGTGAGTCTACCATTCATGGCTCACTGATTCAAATGATCTGCTCTTAGTGAGTCTACTGTTCATGCATCACTGATTCAAATGATCTGCTTTTAGTGAGTCTACTGTTCATACCTCACTGATTCAAATGATCTGTTCTTAGTAAGTCTACCGTTCATGGCTCACTGATTCAAATTATCTGCTCTTAGTGAGTCTACCGTTCATGGCTCACTGATTCAAAGAATTTGTTCATAGTGAGTTTACTGTTTACTGACTAAAGTGATTCTTTTGTTCATGGCTCACTGATTCAACTGATCTGTTCAGAGTGAATCTACTGTTAATGAGTGCTTTAAGTGATCTGTCCATACTGATTCTTCTGTTTATGGCTCACTGAATCAACTGATCTGTTCAGAGCGAGTCTCCAGTAAAAAAAAACAAAAAAAAAAAAACAATGAATTGCAAATTGATTTATTAAAAACCAAGTACTTCAAAACACTTAAAAACTTTAAGTCTTTATTCGCTTACTGGAGGTAAATTATATCAGTAGTTTTACTCAAGTGCTTAATTTGTATACTTCATCAATGACTGCTGACATAATCAAACAACACTGACTACCTAGGTCAAGGAGAGAATGCTTACGTTTACTAAACTTCATGAGAAATGCAACGAAAGTATTATTTCTGCAATGCGCTTAACTGTAATCATTCCAAACAAAACATCAGGAAATGCAAATGTTTATAAAACAAAGATAATCATTCCCACTGACTGCTGCACACCATTATATCTGATGGAAATCCAAGTATGCGATGCAAAACGTATGTTTACAAAAGTCTCAAACGTCTTCAACATCCATCACGCCTGACGTTTCTGTCCTTCTTATAGACTCTACACTTTTAAAACTCCTTGAGCTAAATAGTATTGAATGTCTCAGAGTTGAGGGTTGCTCTATGATCTGCTCTTGTCTTCTACAACATTTAACATCATTACCTCATGCTTCGCCACCGGCTTTTTTTTTACCACAACTCCATTTTGATAATGGTAAAAAACTGAAGCCTTACCTTGACGTACTCCATCGTAGGGTCCATTCCTGCGCTGTTCCTGCAGGAGAAAGAAAGAACTCTCTTCAGCGAACACATCAACTCTCCTTTAGCTCAGCTGACTGTATAACTGTACGTGTGTGTGTGTGTGTGTGTGTGTGGGGCAGGCTGTGTGCTTGACTGCAGTGAAGTGCCTACCAGTCCAGCCCCGCAAGCCTGAGGTCATTACACCACAGTTTAGACCACAACATGTGGACACAAACACCCACCATCCCCCTAAACTCACAACTACTTCCACACTAATACAAATACGCAAAGTGCATTAGAGATTTAAGCAGATAATAGTTCAGAGACCGTACATGAAGTACAAAAAAACTTATAGGCTTTAAAAGAGAAGTAGAGGGAAAAAAGGAAAGGTTAAGCGGTTAGAGATGAGCATGTCTGGAGGCTTTCAGCGGCTCTCATGTCTCACACACAAACACACTCTCTGTGTGACTCTCCGGATTTGTGCTTACGTGAAGATTTAAAGCCCAAATTCTAAAGGATTATAGCCAGGAAAAGGGAAATTAATTCCTTGAGTCCAAATTTCCCACAGGGCTGAAAACAGCGTCAATAAACAGTTCAGTGCAACCCTTTGGGTCAGAAACAAACTTGGAGGAAACGCAACACACATGAATACACATGAAGATCTGAGTGTGATGAAGTAATTACTACAGGATTATTTTAATATTTGGTATTAGAAATGTGTAGAAATTAAATTAAAGGTATCTTTTGTGTTGGTTATGTTTACTTTGAATAAATCAATATAATAAAGTAAATAAACCTCAGCTTTCTAATATCATGCTTTAAAAATGCTGGGTTGTTTTAACCCAAATTTGGGTAAAATATGGACAAATTAAAAAATTTGGTTAAATCTGCGGTTTAAATGTGATTTTAATAAAAATGAGTTTCCTTATCTGGGGTGCGTTTCCCAAACAACAACATACTGTAACTCGCGGCTGAACTGTTAAAGTACGATGCATCGTTTGGGAAAAGAACGATGTAGTGACAAGTGTTTCCCAAAACCCATAGTTCCTCTGTCGCAGAGGAACCCGTAGTTTCTCTAACGTTTGAACCATTTTAGTTATACCGTAAAATGTCCATAATGAAGTAGGGTAATAAGGAGGATATGGTTTATTATTATTTATTTTTTTTTAAATGTCTATTTTTTTCAATTTGACACGTTCAAACCAATGCAGAAATCTTATAAACAGACCCATGTCATATACAGATACATTTCTTTAAAAATAACCTAATTAAAACTATTAACATATGCTATATGTTTGTTTTCACAACCTTTGGAGATGTAACAAATTCCGCTTTTAAATAATACGTCACCCATAGATTTAATCAGGAGCCACGGCTGTGTTCAAAATGGCATAAATGTTTTCAAAGTGCACTACGATGGGAGCGCAATTGTCAATATAAAGATTGCTGAAACTGAACTTTAAAAATACTTTGAATGCAAATCACATCTAAGAGAGATGACCTTAATGTTTTTTTTTTTTACATTCCATGTTAGAATGTTCTAAATGAATAGAGCATAGGGGAGAAAACTGGGAATAGAATACAATCAGGAACTATGCTTCTAACTACAGCTCCTGAGGTGTAGTTGCAACTGTACAAGTTTAGGAATGTTCGTTGGAACGATTTGGGAAACACCAAAGCAACGAACTATGTTTGTAACAACGGACCTTGCGACCTTAGTTGGCTAACGATGGTTTTCGGAAATGCTCTGCTGTTTGTTTTGTACATATTTTACTCAAATTTGAAAATAACCCAGCGTTTTTAGAGAGTAGTGTTCCCATCATGCATTGCAGTTCTATTTCCACTGTTTTATCATTGATCTTGTCGTTAACTGCAATAACTTGTTTGTTTCTTTACCATTTTCTACTTGAAATTACACATTCATACCTTTAAAAACATTGATTGTTACCATCATTGTGAATCGTGTGCCAAGTTTTGAGGTCTCTGTGATTGGTTAAATTCTATAGGCTCAGTTTGAAAAGGTAGCCCTATATACGTTTCTGGAGATTGCGAATTATGTAGCCAGAAGTACGTATAGCAGCATTTTGTCTTTAAAATTAACACTACGGGGCAGTATGTCACCATTCCTTTTCGCAATTACCTTCATATGGACGGACTTCCCACTGTAACCAGTTTGTCCAGTTAGCTCACAATGTACGTTGGCGGACTTGACAAGCAGAGAGTTGACAACGATGGTGAAGTTCGAGTCTGGCAAAGATTGGTTCCAGAAAGCAGTAAAGACAAAAACCAAAGCCAAAAAATAAAATAAACAAGTAAATAATGGGGAGAATGTGGTAAAATCTGAAAAACTTGGTAAAAACCAGACAAGGGCTTTTTCTTTTTTTGAATTGCTTTTAAAAACTGTCATTGGGTTTAGGAAAGTGGGTGATTGGGTCAATCTGTGATTTTGAAAACACTGTTGGTTGGGTTTAGGTAAGAAGGAGAGTGGATCATTCGATCGGTCAGTCAGTCAGTCAGTCATTCAGTCGACAGCGGCCTCTGAAATATTTATGAGAGAACAGCAGGCGCGAATGGCACTCATGAGAGAAATTTGAAATCTGAAAAAGCATACACAGCGACCTCTGGTGAATTCAAGAAAACAAAAACTGCAAAAAAAAAAAAAAAAAAAAAAACGTACCTCCTGGGACGTATTTGGTGCTCTCCAAAATTGAATATTGAGGTATGTTTTCAGAATGAGCTTGGGTTGGAATTCTTCATTATCATACAGATTGTAAAAAGAAATTGAATGTTTTGCTTACATAAATATTTTTATACAAAGCATACACTTAAAAAAAAGGTCTTAATTCAGTGCTACATTGTTTGAGTAAAACTTACAAAGAGTGCAGTATTGTTTTTAAAATGTAAATTATCCCAAAATAAACTTCAAATGATAAACTAAAAATGACTTAACAATGCTACTTTTCCGTACATGAAATTGACGCAAGAAATCTGTTTGCAAAAACCTGACAAGTTAAAAATATGTACATTTTAGTAATTTATTTTATTACATTTTTGTTAGTGCAGAATCAACAAAATGTGAAGAAAATGGTGAGCTCTCTTCCCCCCTGTGGCTTTAAGCTAGCGGTCTACATGAGACTTACCCAAACTGCAGAGATGGCCCTCGGTCAGCACTGCATTTTATTTTGTTTTATTTAGATTCTCAATGCAGAAAGCAGGAAACACGGTGGTAAAGACTGGAGTCACGGAGGAGGACCGTTCCACAGCTCAGCTTTTTCTCCATTTAGATCTGTCCACCCTCTTTCTCTCTGCCTTCAGCCGGAGTCCCTTTCATCTCAGCTTTCACAAAAACCTGACTTTTCTATATGCCTCTTTCTTTCTTGCATTCTCTCCAGCAACTGTCTCACTCCCTCAGGGGAATAAGGCTAGCTTTCAGGTTCAGTGTGTGGAGGTGGCACCTGGGGTGAGAGCTCAGATATAGAAAAGCGTCAGATATCTGGAAACATGAGAACGTTTGAGAAAAATTCTTGGCTTGTTTGGTTGCTCCCACTTTTAAGATCTATCAAACTTGAACTGATTTCCTGTTTAAAGTCTGCTGGAAATCAAAACTTACAATGTTTATTTTGTTAGCTCTTAAAGTGAATAATTGTTCACTACAAGATAATCAATTTGTTGTTTTGATAATCTTCAATTAAAGACCATTTGCTTCTGCCTTTAGAGTGGCAGTTCAACTTGAGGGCTTTTTAAGCACAACCCTCCTGCCATTAGTTTGCTATGAGGGAATGACGTACACAAGAAAGCCCTGCCCCTACTCAATATTCAGTTTAAGTTGGAAATGACCCTTCTCGGTTGTTTGATTGACAGGTGATCCAGCCAATCATAAAGCAGATATTCTGTGTTCCGTCACTGCACACCACTTTCTCAAACACACAACCAGACTAGATGGAACAGGCAGAGTATTCACCATTTCCCTGGTGAGTGCACAAATTGATAGAGGAGTGCGGGACTGATACTGAAAGCATGTCGAAGATTGACAAAAGGGGTGGGGCTTTGCGAATGGTCAAGTACATCAACATATCGAAATAAAAAATTCTCTAATAAAAGTTGCTACTCATGCTAATTTCAAGTTCCCAATGGACATTGAGAAGGAAGCTAATCTTGAGGCAAGAGGTCACGATTGAAAGCTTCTGAACCCTTTCGTTGGTGTGCTAGAAGAGGTTAGCACTCCCACGGGTCGACCCAGAAGTGACTTGAGTTTGGGACCGAACATACCATCTTGTCCGCAAAGAGAGGGCATAGCATGAGGACATAGCCTCAGGAAAACATCCATCTCCATCCCGGACTCGCTCTGTGCCAAGCCGCAGCTGTATTGTGTCTCAGAGCGGTGATTTGTACCTTGCCAGTTGAAATTAGAAAGCCGAGGGAGGACATGGAGGTTTAGGAAAGGGCCAGGCTATTATTGGTTTCCAGAAACAGATTTGTAATGTTTAAGCCACTGAAGAGGCAAATGGGACATTTGACATGCAATGCTCCCAAAAAATCAGTCTCTGAGGTCAAGAACTCACCCACACAAAGAAAGACATGAATCAAAGGCAGTTCACAGCCAAGAAGGCAGAGGCAGTGCAGCTCGGTCAACACATAGCAGCTTCACTGGGGTTTATTCTAAAGCCGCGGATTCTGCTCTATTGATGTGGGTGTTCTTATTAGTGTAAACTGTGATTTGTGAGAATTGGCTAAGAAGTGTCTGCTGAAATCTTTAAAAAAGGTCATGTTTTTAATGGTGATAGATTGATCCAAGTTTAAAGCAGCAGCTTTCAAACATTTTCTCTTACATTTCTCTTTATATATGTTATAGAGATGTATCTGTCTGACGGTCTGCCTGCAGTTATATATATATATATATATATATATATATATATATATATATATACATACAGTGTATTTGGATAGTATTCATAGCGCTTTACTTTTTCCACTTTTTTATGTTACAGCCTTATTCTAAAATTGAATAAATTCATTTATTTCCTCAAAACTCAA